TTGGACTACAATTTGATAAAATTGTAGAGCTATAAATTCCCACCGTTGTCCATCTGATGTCTGTCTGTCCTTCCTTAATCTCAAGAATGGAGTTAGATAAATGAAAGTCAAGATCAGATATGAAAAGCTTAGGGGCAGGAGACCCCAATTAACTATATACAAACTTCTAATTTGCACTGGAAGTCATGTTATTTAAATTAAAAAAATTTTTTCTCTGAAAAGAGTTAGATAGATGACTGACATGACTATTACTGACAGGAAAGTATGATAGACAGGAGCAAGAAATCACTAATTTGAGATGAAAAGCATATATTTTAAACTACATAAATTAAAAATATTAACAATTGCAGTCTGGCATTATGACGATGTCACAATAATTTTATAATTATTATTCATTTATTCTTTACAATTACATTTTAAACAAATTGGTGATCACCACTCACAGGGAAATTCCTTCTCTTAATACAAATTAAAACTCATTTTTATCAAATTTTCTAAATTATTGTGCATTTGGGCAAGTTGAGAATTTCAGTAAAAGAAGTCTTTCAGATCTTATATTTGACATATTTAAATCTAGATAAAAGAAAAGACTAATTTGACTGAAAGCAATTTTTGGATGTCCAATAAATAAAACAAAATTTAATCTCTGTTTTCTTAAAGTATGAATCTCCTCATTTACAATAAAGAAATCATTGGAAATTGATTCATTTTGTACTTGTAAGTTAGCCAAATCAGGCAAAAAAATTGTAGAATGGGTTAATCTCTAAATTTTATATACATATGGTGAAAATGTTTAAATTCTAGTTTTAGTTTCAATTTCAATATGTGTACAAATGATTCTTCGAACTTTCAACTTATTTGATTTAGTTTATATTTTATTTAATTTTATAACTGTCCTTCAAATATTAATTTATATTATTCAATTTTATGAATATGATATTTCATTTCAATTTTGTCTCCTGACAATGTCTTAATAGGTATCAAAATGTTTTGAATTAACAAACATATTTTGTTACCAATAAATTTAATAATAATGTCTTTCTCTTTTGTCAAACATGGTACCAAATCTACAGATTTTCATAAATATCATTTTTGAATAAAGATTTCTCAATCTGAATAGCCAACACAAGATAGTAGCACATATTATAGAAGGCCAACAATTTCATCTATTTTGAGTTCTTACCTACAATAAACCTGACCAACATGAGAGGATAGGTTATGCTATGTTATCCATTATAAATTTTGCAAGTCCAAACAGGTTCTTGTGGCATCAGACCAACATTTGAAATGTGCAGCATCTAGTGAACAGATTTCTAAGCTACTCAAGCATCAGAACGATTGTTTATCATAAACTGGTTAAGTAAATTCAATCATATTCATTCTATTTCTACAATAATTCTTTATAAAACTTCTAGATAATGTTTCAGAGAAAGAATAGTTTTATTTCTGCATTGTTCTGTTTTTCAATTATACATTCTAGGACTATGCTATGATGTCAATCAACTATCATTACAACAAGTTTAATATATAACACAAATATATTTTGCATATGATAAAAGATGAAATATGACTATTTATATATCATATAGCAAATAATCAGATTACTTTCTTTGTCTGGAATCATATTGCTTCTTTTATTATTAATAAGCAGCATTATAAATTTAAATTACATTACAAAACAATTTTGAAATTTTAATGGATAAACAAGTGTACAAGTATTTTTAGAAATGAACATGAATGTTTTATCAACAATTTTATGATCATTATTTCAATACTCAAGTGGCAAAGAAACCGAAAACGTATATAGCCAAAAAACATGTGCTGTAAAAAGTTATTAAAAGCTGGCTTTGCAAGTGTAGCATTGATAAACTAGGCTGCAAATCTAATGTCTAGCTGTAGCCCACAACAGCTACTAAACATTCAGATATTATCAATAATTTTCTGATGCATTTGTATTAACAAAGAAAACATTAGAAGTATGACTGCATATAATGGTTATGAAACCTTTTTGCCAATCAGAAACAGTGTCGCTATATGTTTCTGTTGTTTAAACACCATAAAGTGCAATTAATCTGTTATGAAATTATTATCTTCAAGTTTGTATTTTTGTATTTATATAACAATATATAACATTTAGTGGTAGTATTAAGATTAAATGAATAATGAATTTGTGTAAAATAAATTTATTTAACTTTAGGTTCATAAAAAAACAATACTGTCTGTATGCTTTAATGAAATAGGCAAATGATATTTCATCATATTTACTACCACATTAATAAAGTTAATTCTGACCTATCCCTGCATTGATTATTGATATTAGTCTATGTCATAAAGAAAACAAAATCTTACTGAACTTAAAATTAAAAAAAAGGGCATGATTATTGGGATGCATTTGGAATAAGCTTCAATCATTAAAGTAACTAAATTTATAAATGTTGCATATGCAAATATCCAAGTTATGTTTACATGGGAATTTCAAGAAAAACAGTAGATAAAAAAGTGCACATTCTAGATCAAGGAATTATTTATTGTAATATCATCACAAAGCTAGGCTGCAACTTTTAATCATGTTTTGATTTAAAAATAAGCTTTCTATATCTGGTCTCAATTTTCATATACCTAACTCTGTTCTTGAGATTAACAAAGAATGGACAGACATCAGATGGATGACAATGGAAATGAATAAGTCTGCAATTTGAAAATTGTAGTTCAATCAGGTTAATGAAATGTGTAAAGAAAAATGGATAGGCAACAACTGATCAATTATATTGGTATATGGATTTCATTATAGGACATGATAAGACCAAAAACACTATACTAAGAACACCATTGAGCTAGACCTTATTGTTACGTTATATTTCACAAAACAATCATTGTATATGACAACATATACTATCATGTCCAATGGAGCAAAAAAAAATTAAACAATGGATTGCTTATTCTTTTTTGGTCTATTTGCTCAGAGTGATGAATGATTTGTCAGACCAAGAACTCCTCTACTATCCCTTGAGCAATGGAAAAATATAATACAGTCTGATAAATCACTTGCCATTCTTATGAAGGAAATAGACAAGTGTATGTATGGCATCAACTAATGGAAGCTTACAATTCTTATTATTTAGTTTCAAAAGTCTTGTGATAATACAGGGTATTTTAGAAGGCATGAATTGAATGCATTTGACCTGTTAGAAAACATGTCAATTGTTATTTAACAGTACTGAATAATCACCTTGATGCAGTGTAAAAGCTTTTATTTTAACAAAAAAGAGCTACTTTTGGAATAACAATGTTCTAATCCAAACATAAATCAGACTCAGTAATTAAAAATACATGAGTCTGAACTTTTTTAAATATCACAATTAGAAGTTTTTAATCCAATAAATATCTACCAAAAAAATCCTCCCTCTCTATGGAATTAGGAATTGTGGAACTTCTGAAATGTAATCTCATGTAAAAATTTTCTAACTCCATTAATTAAACAATCAGAATTTGATTATTTTCTTCTAAAGAATAGAATTATATCCCTTTTATAAATTGTTTGGAGACTGGTGGATATCACAATATATACAAGTTCACTAAATGCATTTAATAGTCTAACACCATATTATTTAATTAATTAATAATTTTTCATAAGTTCTTTCCATTTTCTTCCTTTACTATCTGTATATCCATTACATAAAAAATCAAATTAATCAGAACACGAGAAAAATATATTTTATGTCTGTGTTAAACCTATATATGTGGGAAATTAGTTTATTAAATCAATCAACATACAACCAGAGATAATTAAGAAATAAAATTGATTTCTGTATATTGTATATATAGTAAAGCCTTGTCAAGTCAAATTGTTAACCCAAAACATTCTACACATCACGGGCACAGTATATAGGGTTTTTATATAATACAGTCTTAAGTCAAAATTTCTGGCACTTTTATCTCAAACATATTCTCCCACATACTCTCCACCTGTTTGAATACAGATAATTAAACAAACAACTCTACAAACCCGATACATTGTAATACCAAAGCCAACCACTGCCATATGCTATTGGGCTAATAACAACTTTTCTTCCAGTAGATCTAAATTATTTAATTAAAAATTATTATTATTAAATTTATTAAGAGATGGCATTTAATGCCTCCCTCTAGTGTCAAATTGTTTGGTAATTTATTAATACAATAGCAGTCATTAGCCTGATAGCATATGGCTTTGGTATTACAGATAATTAAGATAAATACTGTGGCACTGTGCCGAACACAACACCACACCATTACAACCTCATATCAACATCCTTTACCAAACAATACATTACCGGGTCACAAGACGATGCCATAACATCAAAAGCACCATGAATTGCATACAATTTTGTAATCATTCTGAACAGATTCTTAAGAAATGGCTTGCAAATTGGATATTAAACTCATTAACACAAAACTAATTTTGCATCCTTTAAACCTTGATTTAATAAAGTTTTACTGTTAATTATTTTATTCCAAATACAATGATTTACATCATTATATTTGGAATAAAATAATTTATAGATAATCAATTTCTAAACAATAAGCAATATTTAGTTTGGGTTTCTCTTTATACTCAAGTCTACAGAATTTTGTGCAAAGGTTTAACGATTGAATCTGAATTTTCTGCAAAAGTTATGTTACATGTGATTATTCCATTAGAATTACTTAAATTGTCTTGTTTTATAAACATTTATTGCTACGCAATAAAATTTAACCTAATAAATTTTATTTGTAGTTTAAAAAATAAGAAAAATGAATTAATTTCCTTCATTTAACTGTAATTATAATTAAAAATAAGACCGAAAGTTTGGAATTTAATTGTGATTATGATCAAATTGGCAGGATCGTATATTTCCTGTATATAATGTAACATTGCTTCATCTGAGTTCTATATACGTAAATAAATACGTTAAATATAGATTTCCCGAGTTATTAACGTAATGTAAGATAATAATATTCATTTAACGATTTATACTTACTGTCAAAAGAATTTTTTTTTGGAGGAAAGATCTAAAAACCAATAATATAAACTAACACTTCGACACTTCTACATTCGAAAATATTGATTACGAGTCTGTTTTCTTTTCGTTTATTGGTTGAAACTGGAATCCGAATTATCCTAGTTTCAAATACGTTTATAGCCCAATTGACGAATTTGAAATTTTTTATTATTTAAAATAATATAAATATATTAATGCTTTTTTATAATTATTAAATTTATTAAGAGATGGCACCTAATGCCTCCCTCTAGTGTCAAATTGTTTGGTAATTTATTAATACAATAGCAGTCATTAGCCTGATAGCATATGGCTTTGGTATTACAGATAACATATGGCTTTGGTATTACAGATAATTAAGATAAATACTGTGGCACTGTGCCGAACACAACACCACACCATTACAACCTCATATCAACATCCTTTACCAAACAATACATTACCGGGTCACAAGACGATGCCATAACATCAAAAGCACCATGAATTGCATACAATTTTGTAATCATTCTGAACAGATTCTTAAGAAATGGCTTGCAAATTGGATATTAAACTCATTAACACAAAACTAATTTTGCATCCTTTAAACCTTGATTTAATAAAGTTTTACTGTTAATTATTTTATTCCAAATACAATGATTTACATCATTATATTTGGAATAAAATAATTTATAGATAATCAATTTCTAAACAATAAGCAATATTTAGTTTGGGTTTCTCTTTATACTCAAGTCTACAGAATTTTGTGCAAAGGTTTAACGATTGAATCTGAATTTTCTGCAAAAGTTATGTTACATGTGATTATTCCATTAGAATTACTTAAATTGTCTTGTTTTATAAACATTTATTGCTACGCAATAAAATTTAACCTAATAAATTTTATTTGTAGTTTAAAAAATAAGAAAAATGAATTAATTTCCTTCATTTAACTGTAATTATAATTAAAAATAAGACCGAAAGTTTGGAATTTAATTGTGATTATGATCAAATTGGCAGGATCGTATATTTCCTGTATATAATGTAACATTGCTTCATCTGAGTTCTATATACGTAAATAAATACGTTAAATATAGATTTCCCGAGTTATTAACGTAATGTAAGATAATAATATTCATTTAACGATTTATACTTACTGTCAAAAGAATTTTTTTTTGGAGGAAAGATCTAAAAACCAATAATATAAACTAACACTTCGACACTTCTACATTCGAAAATATTGATTACGAGTCTGTTTTCTTTTCGTTTATTGGTTGAAACTGGAATCCGAATTATCCTAGTTTCAAATACGTTTATAGCCCAATTGACGAATTTGAAATTTTTTATTATTTAAAATAATATAAATATATTAATGCTTTTTTATAATTACTAAATGCTAAAAAAATATTTATTGTGATGAAATAGTATAATTATTATATAAAAAGTAAAACATTTTTGTTCAAAACAAACGCTTTTCCAGCAAAAAAAAATTCCAAAATTGTATTTCCATTAATTAAATTTATCTTTCGACTTTTTTTTTAACTCTTTCTGCCCTGTTAGCACCAAGAGGGCCTCTTTCAGCAAGCCCATTATTGATTCGGTCAGGCCCACAATGGGGCAGCGGATGGTGAGGGACGGGACCCGACATATCCGGTCGGACCATTCCCCGAAAAATCTATTTCAAAATTGTATTTATATTAATTTTTTGTTTTGCCTTAGGTACCGTATTTCTTATGTATTATTATTTATACATACGACTTATGTAGTAGTGATACAGTCGACCCCCTATAACAGTGTTGTTAATTTAATTCCGTTTTATATGAATTCCATGTTGTACGGATCACTTAGATTTTACAAATACGTGAGCCGTTCACAGCCCGGCACACATATTTGTAAAGTCTAACTGACTCGTACAACATGGAATTCATATAAAACGGAATTATCAACAGTATTATAGGAGGTCGACTGTATTTAAAAAATAAAAATTTAATCAAACAAAAGTTGCGTAATTTTATTTTCTTATATCTATTTCTTCCTAAATGGCCTGCAAATAGATTTTATTCTGTTGGAAAACTACCGCGTATATTAATTATATAAGTCAAATCTCGTAAAAAATACACGAAAACATCATTTAAAATATGCAACACTAGCTGTTACCCGCGACTTCGCCCGCGAAAATTTTGCAAGCAAACCCCATTTATATTCAGTATTTCAACAACCATAGTAATTGTTATATAACACCTAAAGCTGAGAATAATGAGAATTGCCGAGAATCAAACGAACTGTTTTCAATTTGATCAATTTTCTGAAACGTTTACAATCGTTCTATAATCGAACCAATATGCAATAACAAATTCGAATTTAAAGCGGTTCGAACATTTTTTAAATTGAAATAGATAAAAATATTTATAACAATGTCTGAAATGTTATTAATTTAATACACCTAAGTACTCGATGAAGACTTAATCCTCTCCCTCTCCCTCCCGTAGGGGAATTTCGAAAAATCCCTTCTTAGTGAGCGTTTTCATGACGTACCTTAACTGTGTACCAAATTTCACCTCTTTAGGTTTAGCGGTTTGCTCTGGGGGATGATGAATCAGTGAGTGAATGAATCTGTCAGTCAGGACTAGGGATTGTAAATTTACCGACTTTTTCGTTTACCGGTAATTCGGTAAATGAAAATTAAAATACCGGTCAGTGCCGGCCAGAGGCAAGTTTTAGGATGGAGCGAAATCCTATTATGGCGCCCCCCCTTGGTTGCTCCTAATTTATACCCTTTAATTTTTTTTACCACTGAGGCGCCTCCTAGGACTTAGCGCCTGGAGCGGCTGCTCCGTTCGCCCTATGGTAGAGCCGGCTCTGATACCGGTTTACCGGTAAATTACCGGTAAATTTTTTCCTAAAAAATAAAATTAAGGTGATAAAAAATATAAGTAATTTTTATTTCCATTTCACATTTTCTATTACAAAGGTATAGAATATGAAAAATATAAAAATTAAAGTGTTATTCTAAACAAACTATAATAATAACTTTTAGAAACATAAATAAAATAATACAGAAAAATAAAAATAAAACAGAAATAATATATAGTACCTAATACCATTTTACTGATTACCATTTTTTAAAAAATAACTTCTCAAGAAACTTAAATTATTTAAAGTCTTATCTCCTAATTTTGATCTAATTTTTGTACAAAATAATCCGGGTTAGGTTAAGTTTCTAGACTTTTTCGGACATCATCTTTAAGTAATAAAAATCTTTCCAGCATGTTTAGTAAGCTATTCCACCGGGTTCTACAATCTAAAATTAAAGAAAGTTCTTTTCGTGAGAGTAATGGGGATTCCCCACGAAAATAAGGTTAGAATAATACATATTTTGCACAATCGTAAGGCATAATGTTAGAATCTTGTAATAAATATTTGTATTTAATTATTTTAAACAGTTGTTAGAAGTAAAAAATTTATTTAAGGTACAAATTTTAATGTTATTTTGCAATAATATTGCTTTAATGTCCTGTCATAATGTGGTGTATTCAAAATTGCTATTAATTTAAAAAGTACGTGAAATATTTACGTATTATTATTTTTAAATATTAAAAAAAAGATATTTACTTAATCTTTAAGAAAAACGTTGATTGTAAAGATTTTAAACCTTTAAAAATCTCAAAAAACGGCAGAGCACAAATCACATATGCTAACTAGAGCTTTCTGTACAATTTACAGTGCCTCTCAAACCCAAGAAAGTTTAAATTAAAATTAAACAAAAAATATCTCACATAAAATTAATAATTAGGTATATTGTTGCTTACACTTATCTTTTTTTTTTTTTTTTTTTTTTTTTTTAATGTCCCTTTAGCCCTTTTAAATATCTATAAACACAATATTTTCTACATAAAAATTTCTAGTATGAATTTTTGATTTACCGAATTACCGGTAAATTTCAAAAATTTACCGGTAAGTTTACCGAATGTTTTTTTGTCAATTTATCGGTAAACCGGTATACAATCCCTAGTCAGGACAAGCAATTTTATATATATAGATAATAATAGTGCCCGGATGGCCGAGCGGTCAAGGTGGCAGCCCACCGCTGTGGGGGACTCGGACTCGAATCCAAACGGGTCGAAAAATCCCCAGGAATCTTTCGGGGGGTGTCCGTTCGGATATGCCGGGCCCCGTCCCTCACCACACGGCAGCCCCATTGTGGGCCAGGCCGAACCCATAATGGGCTTGCTAAAAAAACAGGCCCTCTTAATGCCCACAGGGCGGAGGAAAGAGCTAAAAAAAAATAATAATAATAAATTCCTATATATAAAATAGGAATTTTTAATTTATTTATAAAGCCATTTTTAGAATATATAATTTTCATTTCATTTTCATATAATATTATTTTCAGAATATATTTGTAATATAATATGGCCACGTCTAAGTTTACAATCTATTCGCATACAGCAATAGCATTCTTGACTATGCTATCCATTTTTCAGAGATCGCTTATGTTTGTCCACGTCTAGTTTAACTTAAAATCTTAATGACGTCTTTTTCTTTACTAACCTTATTATTATTGATTTCCTTATTAATCCGTATTAGGCTTCACCTAACTGAATCCAAATTGTTTTGTGGAAGCGCAAGACATTTCCATGTCGCTATTTGTACGTACAAGTACTATTAAGTTCTTTAGTACATTTTCACGTACAAATACTTAATAGTATGTACAAATGTAAATCAGTTTGACAGTTATTTGCACTTGACAGTCGAAAGCTGAAATAATTAAAGAATATGCCTAATTGCTCTGGTGTTCTGGACTCGAATTAGGGCGGTCGTAAAACTCCAGGAATATTTCGAGAGCGATTTATTCGGGATATGTCAAGCCTATTCTCATTATCTAGCCTTCCATATGGAATTTTCCTGGTTTTCTTCGTGTTAGTAACACCTAAATAGGGGTCTAATTTCCCATAAAAAATCTCCCAGGAGGCATTTCCCTCGGAAGATCGTCCGTGACATATTCGATTGTGGCTCCGAATGTAGCTTTGATTGCTTTGATCTCCTTTTTTTTAACTCAGATAATTAGCAAAAATCATTATAACCCTTTTATTTATTACCCTTTTATAACTGATCCTCACAACCGTGGTACTTACACCTGACATGCATTCAGCACTTTTTCCGAGAGATAGGATTGCCAGACTGGACAAAAAAAGGCCAATCGATCTATTTTTTTAAAAATAACTTTCTGCACTATAGGCACTATAAGAGCTTTGTTTTAGCAAGCCAACAATGTAGCAACTGGGTAGTGAAAAACGGTAGTGAGAAACAGCGTCTAAATATCCGGATGGACTACCCCCCGAAAAATTCCTGGGGTTTTTTTGGCTAACCAAAATTCGATTCCTGGTCCCAGGGCGGTAGGCTGCCATCTTAATCTGGCCATCAGGCCGTATTCGAGACGTCTGATCACTAACCTTAAGTTTAAATTCGGCCCTGATACTAAATCTTAATTTAAAACACAAAATGGCATTGATTATATTTATAAAATTATTTTATTAATTAATTTATAAATATATTTATAGACTCGTAAGCGAATTAGATCTGAAAATAATGAAATTTACTAAATACGGAAAGGAATTCATCAAAAGGAGAAACCTCAATCCTGATGTTTATATTGAAATATGCATACAAATGGCTTATTTTAGGTCGGTTTTTTAATATCCTTTTATACTTTCTAATTTCATATTAACTAATTATTTTACGTAAAGATTATATAAAACGTTAACATCAACATATCAAGCCGCTTCGTTACGCAAATTTAGATATGGAAGATTTGATAATATTCGTGTTTCCAGAGAAGATTTAACGAATTTTTTCGAGATTTTTTATGATGAAACTGTCAAAAAGGTAAAAAATATAATTAATTTTTTTTCTTGGATGATGTTGCCTGAGATCTGGAGCTTTAAGGCCTCAGACACGTGTAGATATATACTGTACTTTTTGATACGCAGTAAGTACTAGGAAGGTAAAAAAAACACCACAAAAACAACTCCGAATCCGCACTCACTAGGCATAGTTAACTAGGGCCTTGTTGAGGGCCTCGCACATCCTAAAATTGTCACTGGTTATAACTAGACCACATATTCATAAGGTTTTATACAACGTATTGAAAAATATATGAAATCAAATTAAATTTGAATACACAAATATCATGTTAAATATAGCATTTTTTTACCAAAAGAAAAAATTCTAAGAAATATTTTATTATAAGAAAGAAAAAGTAAAACTTTTCCTTAAAGTCATTGAGAAACAAATTGAAATGTATATTTATGTAAGTAAAATGTCTGTTCATAAGACATATTAACAGTCTAGTTTAAAATGTATATATTANATACGCGTGAGCAAGTAAGATATAAGTTCTGATTGGCTAACATATGTCGGATGATCACTCCTCAACGTATTATTATCACTTTGCCCGACTAGGTGGTAGCAGTATTCATAATGACCGGTCAATTTGATAAATTATTGAAATTTATTACAATGCCCGATTTTGTTGGTCATTATTCATAATGCCCGGACATGATTCAGAATGCTCGTATTAATCACTTTGTCCATAACATATATATATTTTATGTATATGTGAAGACCATTAATGGAGAAGGTCCTGATAATTATCTTCTATGCTTGAAAGAATTTTTTCACAACAAAAGGCAGTATGATCCAGCACTATTTAGAGATAAATCGTATCAAGAATATCTAAACTTTTGTCTGCAAATAAAGCAGGTAAATAATTATAAACGGTATCTTTGGAAGATTTTTGTAGGTCTGTTTTGCACTAGATAAGCAAAATCTAATGAAGAAAAATTAAGACTATACTTAGTGTTTATTTTCTAAAGTTTGTAAATATATATATATATTTCGAGCTGAAAACAAGTTAAAATCACACTTTCTTCTGCTAAAGATCTTATAATACCGTATTTTTTTAATGGAACCGAATTTAACACTTCACAATTTTAAAAAATAAACAAAAAATTTAAATTCTTTGCCAGAAAATGAATATAAGAACTTAACTTTTTAATAAGATTTCATTTAAAAATTTACAATTTCTAACAATAATATCGTGGTTGGATGGCTGATTGGTTAAGGCGACAGCCTGCCGCTCTGTGGAATCTGGGATCGGATTCTGACAGGTCTAAAAATCCCAAGAGTTTTTTGTGGGTGGTTCTTCGGGATATGTTAGGTCCTGTCCCTCACTGCCCACCTTGTTGTGTGCGTGGTAAAATCCATAAAGGGCATGCTAGAAAGGTTTTTTTGTACCTACAAGAAGAAAGAGATTATATATATATATATATAGGAGACACCTCTGCATTAAGCATGTAAATTTATGTTAAAAGTCGCGATTTGCTTATTTTTTTAGTTAAAGTTCTTTATATTTAGATTAATTTCAAATATAATATAATCGTGGGATATGGACCTATGGCGAGAGACGGCAATAGTTGCTGTTTTAATCTTCAAGAACATCAAATAATATTCACTCTGACATCATTTAATACATTCGAAAAAACAGATTTGCAAAGTTTTGCCCAACATTTGACATCAAGTTTGATCGAAATCGGCGAATTTTGT